TCTCTCTCTCTCTCTCTCTCTCTCTCTCTCTCTCTCTCTCTCTCTCTCTCTCTCTCTCTCTCTCTCTCCCCCTCTCTCTGTTATTGTCTATCTCCTTATACATGTATATTCTTTGTGCGTCCCATCTTACTACCGTCTTACCCCGTCTGGTACTGGCGCCGGATCCTGTGCGATGGACGTGAACAGGTCCATGGGGTTCAGGCTGCGTGGGGGTCGAAAAGTGGAACGAAGGGGGGGTGGGGAGTACAAAGAAAAAATCACAACTCGAAGTCCGGAAGAGGGCAGCCTGGCGAGGCTAACAAAGAGCACGAGAGTTCCGGTTCACGACAGGATGGGCGCCGGGGGGGGGACCTCAAAGAGAAGGACGGGCTGGCTGATCAAGACACATCAACAGGTTAACCGCCCGCTTGGGGGACCGCGCGGATTGGGAAATATTTCACGCTTCTGGTAGCGTTGAGACAAACGAGCGTCGGCCAGCCAGTTGTGTTCCACGGTAGTCGGACGTAAACCCGAGTTCATTGAAGCATGTCCAAATACCACATTTGCTCGTCTTCCCGCCGAGCGCGCTGTCTTTCTCTTCCAGGCAACACCCTTTAGCGCGGCCAAAGACAACAACCAAATACACACCTACCTCACAAATACACATACCAAACACCCTTGTCGTAGTCGGTGTCACGACGCTAACAACGGGCATCAGCAGCACCAAAATAGCACCCAAAAACCTGCCGAACAAACAAGTGTTTCCACTCAATCAATCAAACCAATGGAAACATACCTGAAGAAGGGCACGGTCCCGTAGAGGAGGCACCAAAGCGTCACTCCTGCGGCCCACGCGTCAGACGCGTACGCGTTGAAGGCAGCACCTTCTCCCCACTCGCCGCACATCTCGGGCGACCAGAAGCACCACGTGCCCTCCGTGGAGCTCATCTGGGCGCGAGACGTGGATCTTTTTTTCAATACAAAGAGTGTGGTTCGAGGACAAGCGGGACGGGGGGGGTCCGGACGAGGAGGTGAGGTGAGGGGGGGATCCAGGCTCAGACTTCGGCCAAGCTTGTCTGACATCGCAGCAATATTCTAGGGCACTCCTGAATGAATCGAAGCAATTGTTGGATACTCCTTGGCCGTGCGAGGTGGGCAGGCAGGTGTCTCTTTCACAATCAAAGGGCGATCGGAATAAGTCGGATGCAATGCGGTGTTACCCACCCCCTCACCGACAACTAAACCAGAGGTCTCTAAGGAGCAACGCCCAAGGCGTTCGGGGCATCGAATGCCACGCTCTGCCGTACGTAGCAGACGAAGGCCAAATCTTCTCCTCTCAATAGAAAGAAACTGCCGGAACGTAGCTCCGCCTTTGCCCTGCCCGCCAGCACTGCTGTACGAAGAGCATCCCGTGAACCGACGTTGTTTCACACCGTGAGTTACGTAGCTCTAAAGTCCTCCGCTGGTTGACACCCGGCGTCGCAGTAGACTTGTGCACGCATGCACTACAATGACTAGGAGATGGAAATCTATTGTTGGAGTCGTGAATTGCCTCTTTGGAGCTAGAGAAACTCGATCATGACGCCACACACAGCTTCGAACACCAGCTCGGTATCTACTGACACCGATGCAACCACACAAAGGGATTGATTGACGCACACAGAGAAGAGAGCAAACAACGACGCCTAGATCTAATGCGGACTATACCAAGATGTACCAGACGGTAGTGTGTGTGGGGCTGAATAAAATCACCTGGCGAGGGAGCGTGCCGACTTGGGAGTCCGAGGCTCGTCATCGTTGAAGTATTGAGAGACACCGAAGTCCGCTATCTTCGCACGGTCGTCGTTCCCGATGAGCACGTTCTTTTTTTTCGTGTTTTTTTTTTTCGTTTTTGGAGACGTTTTACATGTCGTTCGCGTGCCAACCGAGACGAAGGAACAAGAAGAAAAAAAAAAACGCGGAATAAAGCGGTGGGATTGTTAAGGGGGAGGTGTTTTGGCAACCCAACAGTCGTGAATGCAACAATTATTGCTGAACTCCACCAATTTGTGTAGGATTTGTACAGCGAGGCAGGGTGGCAGGCGACCCCGGGTGGATGGTAGCGCTTCGCAGGCAACAGGCACCCGTCCCGGATCGGCAGAATAAAAAAGTTGCGCATAACGGCTCACGAGGCAATGTGTGGCATACGTACAGCGTTGAACAGACCATGTCCCCGGATCAGTTAGTTCTGCGTGCAGCACACAAGCCGTCCAGGTCCGCCTCAACCCTTGCAGCACGAGCAGAGCACACAGCATGCCGTGGCGGGGAACGAGAGGTTTTCCCACACCTCACCCTGCGTCATTGTCACGGCCGAAGTCGCTACAACCTTCTAGTTCGCCGTCGGGGATATAAGCAACATCCCCTCGCGAGTCCCGGTGATCTCGTCCTGGCGTTGTTTCACCGCTGATGTGATTCATCCAACACACACGCTTCTGGTGCCAAACGGTCTCCGGCGGGTGTCAACCCTTCTTCCATGCTGCGTACGTATCTCAGAAACACAGAGAAGGCAGCAACAACGCCAACATCAACATCAACGTCAACAGCAACAGAAACAGTCATCGCAATAGTAACAGCAACATCAATAACAACAGCAACAAGAAGGGGCGTCGTTTTTCGGGAGACTAACGGCATATAACTAACCCCCTGTCCCAAGACATCTGCGGGTAATAGACCGATCGACCGACCTACCTCAGGCTTAAGGTCACGGTGCGCGATGAGCTGCAAGTGAAGGTATTCCAGCCCCGCCAGGACGTCGGAAAAGTAGCGGGCCGCTGTACGTGCGTCCAAGCAGCTTCCTTCGTTAACTGTGTGGTTGGTTTTCGCGTGTGTGTGGGGAGGGCGGCAAAGGGATCAGTCGCCTAAAAAACAAAGCTCTGTTTTCGCATAGGACCGAAGAAAGTTTTTCGCAGAGCTTGAAACAGGCGGGGTAGGAAATGCGAGGTGTCGTTCTGGGGGATTTAAGACCCTAACATGATCAAAAGCCCATTCATGCGTTGGGCTTCCAGTGCCCCTCCGCCTGTCGCCCCCGCAAATATGTGCCGGTTGCCGCGTTTCGCCAATGTTAGCGAAAAAGACATTAGAATAACGACAAGCACGTAGAGCGGAGTCCCCTCGCGGCCTTTGATGCGGAATCTTCTTTTAAGAGACGCGGGGCTGCCTCGGAATCGATACGGATGCTCCACTAAATTGACGCGCTTCGATATTTTTGGTAGGCGTGCCTGCCTCTGAACCAACTCGGAGCATGACGTCGAGAGACGGGTGTGAAAGTGACAGCAGCAATGCTTCTCGTTCCCAGGCCGCAACCTGGACAACCACAAAACACGGCAGGAACACCAATTTAGAAAAGCCAGCACAATAAAATGGTCTTGTTTCAGGCCGTGGGATGGTTGACGGAGTGTACTCTCCGGCACATGTTATTCTGAAGAGAAGGTGCTGAACGAGCGGGGTGGTACCCATCCTGTCCTTCGCGACCCCGCGTGCCTTGTCAAGCTGCACGCCGCACCACGTATAGTTCAAGAACCTAGTTCGAGGAGCCCCTATCTCGCGGGTTACTTATTGATTTTGGACATTCGCTCATCAGGTTATGGATGGCACTGTTGTACTGACCGCTCGGAGAGCACTCATAGCGGCCCATCCCCTGCTCGACGCAGTACATGACCGCTCCTCGCTCGACGTATTCCATCACCATGTACAGGGAGCGATCCCGGGGGGCATCGATCACCTCGACGAGCTGGACAACGTTTGGGTGCACCAGCTTCTTCATGATGGCGATTTCTCGCTGCACCTGTGCGTAGATGATAATTCCCATCGTACGTTAAAAAGCACGTCTAATCGCACTCCCTCTCCCCGAATATCACTGAAAAGCTACCCTGGTTGTTGCATGTATGCCCCCCTTCATCACATCACAGGCAGCACAAGCCACCAAGCACCGTTGCGGTTGTGGTTATTAACCTTGATGTAGTTGTCCGAGGTGGCCTTGGCGGGCAGCAGCGCGCCATCGGGCCCTCTTGCCCGCGGTCTTGCGAACCGCGCGCCGCGCCGCATCAGCTCGGCCCGGTCAAAAATCTTCACCGCCTGATGATTTGGCGACCCGCCCCCAAACACACACGCACACAAACATCGGTGGCAACAGAGGGAGAGTTAGGGGACAACGGGGTGAGAGGACGGGTCACAGCGGACAAGAGAAAACTGCTGCACTTGAAGGGACGTGTCGACGGATTTACTTGTAGGGCAACAATATTCGCCGCGAAGGAGGAGTGGATCTTGAAGAGCGAAAACAAACGCTGGGATCATGCCACTGGCTCTCGTGGCGGGCGTGCCCTCAGTCTGTGCTGAATCACAACAAGTACAAGTAGTCCGGAGGGAACCAGCAGATCACGTTAACAAGTACACATGATTTGGTCAGTCGGGCCTTCCTGGCTCTGCGCCTAGGTGATTATTTGGGTTGCTATTGCGATCAGCACGGCCAAAACGGGGGAACCCCGCCAAGAAACGACTTCAAGTTCTCTTCGCTGTAGCGATTGTCGAAACCGATTGGCGTCTGGAGATCTCTACCATTCACATTTTTTGTCTCCCGGTAGGCGAGCGAGCGTGTTTTGGATGGCGGTTTCGACGCAACAAGGTGGACGTCACTTGAAGAACTACCTGCTGTATGATGCGGCCTCTGAAATTGGTTTACGACCAGAGGAGTGTCACGAACATCAACGTTTTCGACGCCAACGCAAGCTTCTCCACCACTACACACATAAAGGTCTCCTCCGTCCAGCCCATCCCGCTCCTGGTCCCGACCATGGTCCTGCCCCCCTTCCTGCCCCTCCACCCGCTCCTTGTAAGTGCCGGCGCTAGCACGGTGGCGTCGTCGACCTTCACCCCCGAAACCGCTGCTGCCGCTGCGGCTCTCCTCCCCACCCCCGCCACCGACCGTATCGACGATACTCTCGCGGTTGGCCGACAATCCAATATCGCTTGTGTGTTGGTTGTCGAAAACGCGATCTGGCGGCATCAGCAGCCGGCACAGCTTAACTTCCGCCGAGGAGCCACGCCCGAGATCACGAACCACCACATACTCATTAACCTTCGTCACCGATCCTTACGAAAAGAGTGTTGTGGTGGGAGGGGCGGGGCACGCGGACGGGGAGGGAACTTGTTTGCATGCATGGCCGTGGTCGTCGAACCAAAGAGGAACATACAAAGAAGAATATAAATATTGGAGGGGGGGGGGGGGGGG